TGCGTTATCGATACCTTGAAAGGACGACAAGCGGCAATTTCTTCATGAGACAACTTGTGTGTTATTGATACCTTGAAAAAGACAACAAGCGGCAGTTTCTTCATGAGACAACTTGTGTGTTATTGATACCTTGGGAAGCAACAAGCGGCAGTTTCTTCATGAGACAACTTGTGTGTTATTGATACCTTGGAAAAGACAGCAAGCGGCAGTTTCTTCATGAGACAACTTGTGTGTTATCGATACCTTGAAAAGACGACAAGCGGCAGTTTCTTCATGAGACAACTTGTGTGTTATTGATACCTTGGGAAGCAACAAGCGGCAGTTTCTTCATAAGACAACTTGTGTGTTATTGATACCTTGGGAAGCAACAAGCGGCAGTTTCTTCATGAGACAACTTGTGTGTTATTGATACCTTGGAAAAGACAGCAAGCGGCAGTTTCTTCATGAGACAACTTGTGTGTTATCGATACCTTGAAAAGACGACAAGCGGCAGTTTCTTCATGAGACAACTTGTGTGTTATTGATACCTTGGGAAGCAACAAGCGGCAGTTTCTTCATGAGACAACTTGTGTGTTATTGATACCTTGGAAAAGACAGCAAGCGGCAGTTTCTTCATGAGACAACTTGTGTGTTATCGATACCTTGAAAAGACGACAAGCGGCAGTTTCTTCATGAGACAACTTGTGTGTTATTGATACCTTGAAAAGACAACAAGCGGCAGTTTCTTCATGAGACAACTTGTGTGTTATTGATACCTTGAAAAGACAACAAGCGGCAGTTTCTTCATGAGACAACTTGTGTGTTATTGATACCTTGAAAAGACAACAAGCGGCAGTTTCTTCATGAGACAACTTGTGTGTTATTGATACCTTGGAAAAGACAGCAAGCGGCAGTTTCTTCATGAGACAACTTGTGTGTTATTGATACCTTGGAAAAGACAGCAAGCGGCAGTTTCTTCATGAGACAACTTGTGTGTTATTGATACCTTGGAAAAGACAGCAAGCGGCAGTTTCTTCATGAGACAACTTGTGTGTTATTGATACCTTGAAAAAGACAACAAGCGGCAGTTTCTTCATGAGACAACTTGTGTGTTATTGATACCTTGAAAAGACAACAAGCGGCAGTTTCTTCATGAGACAACTTGTGTGTTATTGATACCTTTGAAAACATCAAGCGGCAGTCTCTTCATGAGCAACTTGTGTGTTATGGATACTCTTGACAAACAACAAGCGGCAGTTTCTTCATGAGACAACTTGTATGGTTATTGCTACATTTGAAAAAAACAACAAGCGGCGGTCTCTTCATGAGCAACTTGTATGTTATTATCACCTCAGAAAACGGCAAGTGGCAGCTTCTTCATGAGCAGCTTGTGTACTTTGATTTTCTTTGAAGACAGCAAGTGGCGGTCTCTTCATGAGCAGCTTGTATGCTTTAATTTTCTTTGAAGACAGCAAGTGGCGGTCTCTTCATGAGCAGCTTGTATGTTATCGACACCTTTGAAAGGAAGCAAGTGGCGGCCTCTTTATTTGAGCAGCTTGTGTATCCCCAACAATAATGTCTACTCAATAAATGGCATCCCTTTCGGAAAAGTCCCGTGGGGAAGTTTGTTATTTCATCCTTTTCAAGCGATATCTTGGTTAAAGAAGAAATGTGTTACTGTTCTTGGTAAAATTCAGAAATCAGAGATGTTTATCTCCAGCCACAGTGCTGATGTCAATCATTTTGTTTTCTAGCCACAGTGCTGATGTCAATCATTTTCCAGTCTCAGTACTGATGTCCATCATTTCCTTTTCCAGTCACAGTGCTGATGTAAATCATCTCTTTTTCCAGTCTTCGTACTAATGTAAATCATCTCTTTTCCAGTCACAATGCTGATGTAAATCGTTTCTTTTTCCAGTCTTCGTACTGATGTAAATCATTACCTTTTCCAGTCTCAACACTGATGTAAATCATTCAAGAGTCTCTCATTTGGAGTCTATGACTTTGTTTCCCCAGTGGAGTTACAACCTCTTCCTCTGTGGGATTACTGTATAACGTGCTTGGTTTCTCCAGCATAGTCTGTCTCATATGGCGTCATTCCCCATAAAATTCAAAACATCACATTCATATCATATTGTAAACATAATCGCGGTATCTTAAGGCCAAAAATTGTGTATTCTATATTTAAGTCCCTTCAATCTCGTCGAAATGAAGATCCCCATCTTCATATCTCCAGATAGAAGAAACTTAAATAGGGGCAGCTGTTGTACCCCAATTTTTGACCTAAGATCCCACTTGCATTTTTGCATTTTTTATACAAAAGTCAAGGTCACTAAATACGGTTGGTTTTAACCTCTTACCTTCGAGCTTTGACTATGTGAAGATTGTCAAGTGCTTTGAAAATTCTTAGCCTATGTATCATTAACTTCTACTCCAGCATGTGTATTTCTCGTTCCTTTGTTTTCATTTGCAGGAAACAGATCTGAATCAAGAGCATCAGGCGTCACGCCTCAATTAGGGTTCAGAATCTCAAGCCAGAAGTACAGTTAATCGTTGGTTCGTGAAGACTGATTCATCAGGAGAATCGTGTGTTTATTTCCGCGCCTTGTTCGACAAGTGGTCTTGAGCTTCTCTACAACTCTCTCAGAGCACAGACAAGATTTCATCATCACTGGTTCACATGTGCATCAAGATGCTTTGGAATGCGAAGAAAGATCAAGTTTGTAGGTCAATTCGAAGCACTTTGACCAAAAGTCAATACTTACACATCCAAGTTCAAACGATCGTAACTTTTCATTATTCAACATTTTTGAATGGTTACTTTTGCGTACAATTTTCTTTGACGTCATCTCTAACCCCTCTTTACCAGTCAAGGTCTGATTAGGTGCGGAGGATCATCAAAAGTTCGGATACTTAGAGGTCACTTTGATGACTGTGGCCTAATCTCAAGTAACAATTACTCGACTTTCAAGGATTGTAACTATTTCGATTTTCATCATTTCGGGATGGTTCTTTTTGCAACATGTCACAAATGATGTCGTCTACAAGATTGCTTCAAGGATCTACATCCGAATGCGTTTGGAAGGCCATGAATTTCGCTTGAACATTTTAGGCTTAGAATTGATTTCGTATTGAGATTGTTCTCCACTAAGTCAAGGGTAAAGGCAAGATGTTGAGTTTGAGGATTCATTGATTATATATTGCTATAATACAAGTTGCTTGTATTCGAGCATTAGTAATTAATGAATTAAAATTGGATTTAGATCAAGTTTCTTTGTTTGTTCATCAAGATTCGGTTCATGGTAAAAGGTTTAGGTGTTTTATTTGGAATGCATTTCAAGGTAAAAAAAGACCATTCAAGGAATCTAAGTCCATCAATTCTACAAGGACTATTTCTAAGGAAAAGTTCTTATTCAATCCAAGAATTTGATACAAACTTTAAAGAAAATTTCAAGATCATTGATTCAAGGATATTTGTCATGTCTAGTTCAAAAGTGGAGAATGCATCATGCTAATCTTTTAGGCATATATCAAGTTTGCAATTTCAAAAAATCTCAAGACAAATCCATTCCAAACTCAAATGAAATATTTAAAGTTACATCCAAATTCAAGACTTGTTACAAATTTCAAATTTCATTACAAATATTATAGTCACAAAATCACATGAAAAACATTGTAAATCCTAAAGCCTATTTTAAACTATCCTTCATCAATTTTCAAAATACTAAGTCTAAGTCTATGCTATTATTTTCAAGCCCATTTTCCTTGCTTCATGATGCATCAAATTGCTCCATAACTTGTACCAATGTTGTCCATAAATCAGCTGCTACAAACACTTCAAAACAGTCCAAACCTTGCTTCAAAATTATCCATACTGTATGCATATCAGTCCTAAAAACATGTTACTGCAATGCTGCTCCAAATCCTGTCAAACCTGTCCAAAAACAAGTCAAAATTCTGCACAAATAATGCCAAAAACCTGTCCAAAAGCAGTATAAAATTTCACAAAAATAGAGGATGCAAATCCTGCCTTAGAAAGGGAAAAATCAGCATATCAATTTGTCCAAGACCCACAAATTTTCCCTCCAAAAAATTCATTCTGAAGGGGGGAAAACAAAGTAAAAACCTGTAGAAATTTTCTAATAATTTGGGGCTCCAAGTGGAGAACAGGCTTGAGAATATCACCTGCTGTAAAAACAACAAAAACACTACACACTACCTATCATCTAACCTCACTTAACTTGAAAAAACCATTCACAGTAAACCCAGCTCTTCCATCACAAAGCCCCCTAATCGCCTCTATTCACCTTCCAAACCACACATCAATAACACTTTTATTCACATATGCTATCTAAATCTCTCAATTCAACAACACTTACTACAAGCCCTTTCAAACATCAGCATTGACGTTATTGTTGGTGTCACCAATGAAGAGGTATTGAGAATCGGAGAATTTCCTTCAGCAGCTGCTGCGTGGATAAATAAAAATGTAGTTGCTTATGTACCGTCCACCAATATCACGGCAATAATCCCAAATGTTGTTCCTGCCTTGAACTCTCTCCACTCATACAGCAACAAAACAAAAACTAACAGTAGTAATATCTTTTCCTTTCCTTTTTCTCTACCCTTTCCTTCATCAATCACTCGCCCTACCCCTTTCCCAACTTCTCCTTCAATTCCCCCACCTACTGTACAAACCTTCAATAATCATTATTCAAGAATCATCCATAAAATCTCTCTTCAACTTCACCCTGCAGATATTAAAAATGCACAGAAAATCTACACAAAAACAACCAAAAATTTCATAGAAAATGTCTACCTCAACCTCACTCCAAACGATCTCAGAACTTCTCAACACAACCTTAATTCAGAACCACCTGCATCAGACAACAACAACAACTCAGAAGCATTCAAAACATACAACAACAAAAATTCGGAATCCATAAGAGTTGAAGAGAAAAACTGGAACAAACAGAACATAGATTTTCAACCGAGTCACGTTGTTTTCATTGTTTTTGCAGATTAAGTATTTGGTTGAAAAAAACGAAAGAAATGGAAACATTATTACCACCGTCTTCCACCTGCTAGCACAAAAACGCTACCATACACATCTCCTCAAAACTCCCATCTCTCCGCCGCTTCAACCGCCGCCATCTCTTTCTCTCGCTTCCCTCCGCCCTAACCGATCTTCAGCAATGACTTTTGGAGCTTCCACCGAACTTTCACACTATCTTGCAGTACCATCCGTTAGACCTAATTCTCGCTACTCTCAATGCACCGCCGGAATCGCTTCACCTACATGCTTGATGTTGAACCGAAATCGCGAGAAGGCTTCAAATGGGGTCGGTGAAAAAAAGGAAGAAGCTGCGGCGCGAGAGGTAGAAGGAGAAGAACGCCGGATTGGAAGCTGTGGTAGCCGCCGTCGCGATTTTGAGAAGACAAAGGTACTATGTGATGTTTTCCTTACCCTAATCCCTTTTCTAATTGTTTGTCTTATTATAACTCTTTTCTTTTTATTTAATTCTATAATCCTATTATTATAACTCTTTTCTTTTATCTATTAATTTAATTCAATAATCCTAATATGATTAAGTAATGTGGATGGATGTTATTGATTGGGTCGGTAGGGCCATCTGAGGCCCATTGAATTTTTAATTCTGAATTGTTTACAATAAAAAGATAACTCCTGGGCCTTTTCTGGATGGTTTTTGCTCTCAATACAGAGCTTGCTATCTCTACACCCTCCCAATTTTCTGCCTCACCTTTCCTTATAATTAGTTTAGTTTAAATTTAAATAGGCAATCTTGAGATTAATTTAGTTTATAGTTAAATTAGTTTAGATATAATTTATTAATTTTAGAGCTTTAATAATTTTATAACTTTAGAATTTTGTAATTAGTAGAATTATTTTAGTAAATAACCTTAGGATTTTAATTTAGTTTAAACAATTTTTCTAGATAATTAATTACATCCTCCTTATTTGTATTTAAAAAATTCTTTGCCATTATAATTTCTCGGCGCCCTTAGGTCATTAATCTGTTTAGTTATATTTATTTTCTTGTGAATTTTGATTGCTTATATTTCGATGTCTATTTTATTTTGCTCGCTCCATTTATTCCAAGGGAAATGTTTTTAACTTTGTTGACTTCATGTCATCAAATGTATTTGTTACAATCGTGCGAATACCCTCATCCATTTTTGCTTGTTTACTATTTTTCCAAACTTAAGATAATTCTCCCAAAAGATTCCATTTTTAAACTCACACCTTTTAAGTCAAAACTTCGACATTAGGTCGTCGTATCTTCGAAATCTCTCCAACACCGATTTTTAGCCAAACGAACCATTTTAATCAAACAAACAATTTTAAACCAAAAAACAGATATTTCAAAAGGTTCCTGCGGAGTACCGCAGATGCATTGGGTGCTAATACCTTCCCATTGCATAACCAACCCCCGAACTCTCGATCTCTTTCAAAAATGCATTGTACTTTCATTACTTTCAAGTATTATTTTACATTGCATATTTTAGGGTTTTATTTCGCTCTTTTCCCTTTTCCCTTGGAAATAATAAAGCGCGGTGGCGACTCTTGCTTTTTGCGAGTCAAGTTAATTAATAGCTTGATCTCCGATTTTCACCGCTACACTACTATGGACAGTGGCAATTCTTCGTACCCGGTGAACATGGACATAGTCGAAAAATACTATGGATGAACAAAGATCCGCTAGGTTGACTGGCCTAGGCAAAAATAAGGGCATCCCGGCGAACCAAAAAAGGTTCGGGCAAAAATTAGGGATAAAAACAAAAAATATGTACACCCGGCAAGCCAAAAACCTGAAAAGGCAACTTGAGCAAAAAAGGGTACCCCGGTGGACTGAAAACCCGAAAGGGCGGTCCAGGAAAAAGTTAGGGATTAAAGCGTACGACTATGTCCCGTCATCTTATCACTTGTCTATCAGTAGAAGACTTATCATTTTGATCGGCAGTTACCAAGCACCTCATAAGTTGGGATAACATTCAATCTACAAAGCCTCCACAGGTACTTTCTCCAGCAGGTACAGGGGCAAAAAAGTCCTGATGCAAAGTCATTGTTGTATCCTCAGCATACGACCCTGTGACATCTACACTCCCCACAGAGTAGAGGCAACCAAAGTTTTGATCTCTGCTTCCCCAAACAGGAGTTACTTTCCCTAGCAAAGTTCCAGCAGAGAGCCGACGTCTATGTTCCCCAGCTGAATTTTGCAATTGCAAGCGGTTCATATAGTTTTCTCCCAAGCAGAGTTTATTTCTCTGGGCACAGAAACTCAATCCCCGATAGAGTTTATTCCTTCAGATATGGAAGTTCACCTTCCAACAGAGTTATTCCCACAGAGTTATTCTCAAGCAGAGTCTCTCCCCGGCAGAATATTCACAAACAAGGAGCGAATCTACAGCATAGTCGTCTCCGTTCACCATCCTTGATGGAAGTAGAAGGATCACAATCCTCTACCATAGTTAGGAATTCAATTTCCAGTACTCCCCAATAGCAGTCATGGATTTATTTTCCCAAACTCAGACGTGTCACAATAGCACTTCATGTTCATACATCATGACGTGCGCACACATATCGCATACAATATAATCTCATTTATTTTGAGAACATCGTCATACAATGCATTTCATGCATCACATATAATTAATCATGTACCTTTTCATGAAAGATGGTTATCATCAACAATTTCCAGGAGGTCCAAGATTATCTCCTCAAACTAAACAGAGTAATTATCTGTGCGACTAAATGCAGCCCTCTACTGGTTTGTCACGAAGCAATCTTACACGGGTTTCTCCTAAATGCAACTTCACACAGGTTTATCCTGAAAAATCTTACACGGGTCCTTTCTCATACATTTCCTTCTGAAGTTTTACACAAACTTATCTCAAAGTAACCTTACCTCGTTTCATTCTGAAGTTTTACACGAACTTATCACAAAGTAACCTTACCCAGGTTCCTCTTGAAGTTTTACACGAACTTATCACAAAGTAACCTTACCCAGGTTCCTCCTAAAGTTTTACACGAACTTATCACAAAGTAACCTTACCCAGGTTCCTCCTGAAGTTTTACACAAACTTATCTCAAAGTAACCTTACCCCGGTTCATTCTGAAGTTTTACATGAACTTATCACAAAGTAACCTTACCCAGGTTCCTCTTGAAGTTTTACACGAACTTATCACAAAGTAACCTTACCCAGGTTCCTCCCGAAGTTTTACACGAACTTATCACAAAGTAACCTTACCCAGGTTCCTCCTGAAGTTTTACACGAACTCATCCCAAAGTAACCTTATCCAGGTTCCTTTTAAAGTTTTACACAAACTTATCACAAAGTAACCTTACCCAGGTTCCTCCTGAATTTTTACACAAACTTATCCCAAAGTAACCTTACCTAGGTTCCTCCTGAAGTTTTACACGAACTTATCCCGAAGTAACCTTACCCGGGTTCCTTCTGAAGTTTTACACGAACTTATCCCGAAGTAACCTTACCCAGGTTCCTTCTGAATTTTTACACAAACTTATCCTGAAGCAACCTTACCCAGGTTCCTTCTGTAGTTTCACCCGGACTCATCCTGAAGCAACCTTACCCAGGTTCCTCCTTACAATTTCCCAATGTAGTTTTACCCAAACTCATCACGAAACAGCCTTACCCAGGTTCCTTCTGAAGTCCTACACACACTCATCACAAAGCAACCTTACCCAGGTTCCTCCTGAAGTTTCACACAAACTTATCCTAAAGTAACCTTACCCAGGTTCCCTTTGAAGTTTTACCCAAACTCCTCACGAAGCAACCTTACCCAGGTTCCTTCTCGGTCCCGATGTAGTTTCACCCTGACTCATCCTGAAGCAACCTTACCCAGGTTCCTCCTTATAATTTCCCGATGTAGTTTTACCCAAACTCATTACGAAGCAGCCTTACCCAGGTTCCTCCTGAAGTTTTACACGAACTTATCCCAAAGTAACCTTACCCAGGTTCCTCCTGAAGTTTTACACGAACTTATCCCGAAGTAACCTTACACAAGTTCCTTCTGAAGTTTTACACAAACTTATCCCGAAGCAACCTTACCCAGGTTCATTATGAAGTATCACTCAGATTTATCCTGAAGCAACCTTACCCAGGTTCCCTCTCAGTTCCAGTGCAGATTTACCCAAACTTCTCACAAAGTAACCTTACCCAGGTTCCTTCTCATTTCAGATGCAGTTGTACCCAAAATCCTCACAAAGCAACCTTACCTAGGTTCCTTCTCAGTTCAGATGCAATTTTACCCAAACTCCTCAAAAAGCAACCTTACCCAGGTTCTTTCTTAGTTCAGATGCAGTTTTACCCAAACTCCTCACAAAGAAACCTTACCCAGGTTCCTTCTCAGTTCAGATGCAGTTTTACCCAAACTCCTCACGAAACAACCTTATCCAGGTTCCTTCTCACAGTACTACTATCTAGGATTTCATTTTGAAGTAACCCTATAATCCAGGTTCCTTCTCCCTCATCTCCAAGCAGCAGTTTACAACACCGCAAGGCCTGGACCCGACCAGATATGGTCGATTTCACATTTCCCCAGCAAGTTGTTGTACAGCCTAGACCCTGACCAAGTATACAGTCTACTTTCACCTCTTCAATCAAGACTTAATTCCCCAAGAGAGTAATGGATAACCAAAAGCTCCTAGACTTTACTTCCCAGTGCATAAATCAACATTCCCCGGCAAAGTCCCCCTTGACAGCAGGTACAGGAATTTTCACACATGAATCTCTTATGCAACCAATCTTTTCTGGATGGCATCTTTAAGCCCATCTCCTATGATTTCCCGTTACCTCTCCAAATGGAATCTTTAAGCCCATTCCCTACATAATCAACTAACACATCTTCGAGTGCAAATTTTCTGGGCACTCTAGTGTTCAATCATCTTCCATCTTCAAGTCACGAATGGCAAATTTACCAATCTAACTCTTCAGGTGTAAGAAGATTGAACAGGGGCAGCTGTTGTACCCTAAAATTTGCCCTCTCATTTCTCAAAGGATTAACCTGGACCCTCAGGTTTGCTTCCATCCAGTTTTAAGTCTTGAATTACAACTTTTCAAGAAAATTATTTACAAGGGCAAAATGGTCAAAAACACACTGAAAAGTCAAACTTTGACTTTTAGATCCAAATCAAGTTTCAACAATTATATTTCATCAAAACATGAAATTGGTTCATCAAAAAATCAGAAGTCAGAAGTTACTTTGAAAAAATGAAATTTCTAAGCATTTAGAAAGTTTTCTAAGTGTTAAGAGAATATGAAACTTCAGAACTTTTGAGCCAGCCTCCACGCAAGTGCAGTCAGAAGTTGCAAACACGGTTCAGAACATGATGCTTCAATCAGAACATGTAGAAGTGATGCTCTTTGTTCAGAACATGATGCTTCAATCAGAACATGTAGAAGCGATGCTCTTTGTTCAGAACATGATGCTTGAATCAGAACATGAAGAAGCGATGCTCTTTGGTCAAAACATGATGCTTCAATCAGAACATGTAGAAGCGATGCTCTTTGGTCAGAACGTTGATTCTTCAGCATATGAAGGCTAGGTTCAATGCTCCTTCAGAACATGCTGGAGCAAAAAGATACAAAGATCAGAAGTTGGATGTTCATTCTGAATTATGCTGAGACTGAA